TAGTGTACAGTGCTGCATTCCGTTTTGTTTTTTTATCCGGCTGTGAGATATTGCTGTTAAGGGTAGACATGAAGAGACTATAGATTCTTGAACACAGATGTCTTCGTAACATTGCTCACATATGGTGGAATTCTCACGTTGGAAATCTCGAGTTCAGGCAAAGGCAAGACAGGCAAGTTGATTGATAAGGTTGCCAACCTTAGTCGGCCAAAACGACTTGAACATATAGTGTGCATGCCGAACCACCTTCTACCTCCCTGTGTCATGCTAAGCGAAGTTGCATTGAATTCAAATAGGGTTCAGGGCGGCCAGAATAAAATATGGCACTAGTGCAGGAAGTCTCTGACTATCGGTCTGAGCCATGTGTGGAGATGACAAGTGCCTGATTGGGGTTCAGGAGACAAGAGGAATCGGTAGTTGAGGACTACTAATGACAGAGCTAAAAGTCAGTCTCAGTGGCGTAGATGTATTCACTCTTCGACGTCTTGTGAGGCTTGAATTTTTTGACCGCCCTACATTCTTAAATTCCCTTTCTTCCTATCCGGCTTTGTATACATTGATATCACTCTACTTGTTCTTTCGTGCTGTTGTGAAATGGGACAACTTGAGCTGATACAGTTGTGTGCGAGATTCTACTTTGATTTCATCTGTTTTTGTCTACTCCAAACTTCAAAGTTCTGATTCTAGTCAAGATCGTTGCTTCTTGATATGTCCAAAACAAGGATGAAGCGGTTATCTAGTACTCCATGGTGTACAGTGACTCTATAAATTGTATCGATTGATGCCAAAAATGTATTCTTCCTGAGTTAGGCGACACTTTGTATCATTCATCTGTTGTTTACAGTGTTGAACATCTGTCTGAAATGCTAAAAACGCTAATCAAAATCATGTGAATTCATGAAAACACTCATTTTGCTTGCCATATACGTCAATTTTTCATTTCAACCTATGAAATTCTTTGATGAGGAAATAATCCGTATCGGTACTTTTAAAGAAAGCCTATGTAGAACTAAAGTTGGTCAACAAATCATATTTATATTCTGTGATAATCATTAGGTCAGTTTTTCTGTCTCCTCACAGCAGTGACTCTTTACATTAGCTTGAATCAGTACAGATATCATTCTGGTAAATTATCTGAAGTTCAGATTTTGTATGGCCGGGTAAATATGACAAAACTTTGGTGTGCCACTAGCTTGATGAGGGAGGGAGAGTACTGAAATGAAGACCTGTGTAACTAACTATGCAGCACATTGGATGGTTGAGTAGGAAATGTTAACTCACCATATGACACCTTGATTCATGGTGATCGAGTAGGAGATAAACTGGATCAATGTCAGAAGATCAGTTCCACTGAACCGAATTGTTAAAGGTTTTCTGGTGCGCGGGTTTGCTGAACAGATGCCTAGATATTACATCAAGTTTAATTCTAATATAATTTGTTTTTTGATATCTAGTGGTCAAATAGTCTCACTGGGCACTCCATTCCCTCACTGTAATGGAAGTGCATCCAGTCGACGAGTTATAAGTGCGGTGAAACATATATCCTGTATTCCATTGCTAACTACCAACAAACAAATAAACTGATCAACCCACCAAGGTAAAATAATTACAACTGACCATTCAAGTTGATTGGTAGACAGTAAATCCTGCCTATTAGTTGCAAGATTTCAGTTTTATCCGTTATAACAGTGTTTATGGCTCATTCCGTACACATAGATTTACTTTATTTGTTAAATTTATTCCTATATACGTATGTCTCCAACTTATCTGTATCTCTTCGGTTGGTCAGTGCGTCCAGAAACTGAATTTTGATGTTCAACTCCCTTTCTCTCGTAAGTGTAATGCTCTAAATATGTTACTAACCAAGTTGCACATAGTTTACATTAAATATCCAAGCTTTTTTCTTGATAACTGGTAGAGTTTTCACTTCCATTCTCACAATACAGCTTAAGTAGTGAGTCAATATACTGGTGACCCATTTTCCAACTACCGCTATCTATTCATCAGAAAAAGAGTCAAAATTAACTCAGAAACCTTGTGTAATAGGTATTTAGCCACACTTTTTGTATGAAGGCTAATGATACTACCTGACTTCCCAAACCGCTGTAGGTAGAATGGGGTTTAAAAGCCACTACCCAGCAGTTGAAAGTAAACTCCTTGAACTAATTAGACACAGCTCCACAATATCTGCTCATAAACCTGACTGCCAGATTTGAAATGTCAAACTTGAATGCTGCATCCTTATATGTTTAGACTCATTTTGAGATGATATAATTTACCACTTTTGATCAAGAAACTGAAATACACGTACACATAAAGTTAATGGATACAACTTGAATATTGAAACAACAATAGGAACAATACACCAACACACTAAAGGAATTTCGAGCCGATATTATTGTAGAGAGGCAAGATTGTACAACGCTTTCGTCCAATGAAGAACAGAAGAGCAATATTTAGATATCCTCTTGCAGGATATCTGTCAACTCATCACTGTTATGAAAGCAATTATCTTCCACGGAAAAATTCCTTGGAAACTAGATCGTGAACAATTATAATGTACGTGACAAGCACCTCTGATGAAATAAATATCAGCATTTTCAAAATCTTTGACTCAGTAACACGTTTACTTTACTCCATATTCTGTTAGTGGAAAAAGATGTGACAAAATTAAAAAATGAATTAACCAACACTATTTACAGGATAAGTTTCAGAAATTGTGCGGGATTTAATATTGTTCTAAGTGGATATCTTTTTCATCCTAAAAGCCAAGAACCTAAATCTTCAGTTAATTTAGACGAAAATTCATATATTAGATCAATTCACCCGAAAACATGTGTCTATGTAGTATTTAGCTTGAAAGTGTTCATTTCTTTGATGAACTTAACTCTGAGAATGTTGAAGATGTTTCAAAAACCTTCCATTCAGATTAATTTTTATCAGTGAACATCTTAACCTGGTCTTAATTTTTCAGTTAGTATGGATAATGTCATACGCTTACATGAGGAATATAACAACAACTTAAAAGGAACATAATAAATCTGGTGAAGGCAAACAATCACAGTCCTTGTTATCAGAGCAAATATACTTTTCGTCTTCAGGGGAATTCTATAAAATCACATCTTTTAGTCACTTAAAATGCCAATGAAGGCATTGATGTTGGAAATTATACTGCAAAGAATGCAGCAATAACAAAAGAAGTCATCCACTGGCCCTGGCAACTGACAGATTTTAGTTAGCATTCATACTATAGTTTACTTCACGTCTACAAATTAAAGCGTTAAATAATTGTCAGCATCATCCTTTTCATAGCAGTTCCACTTACTATTACCACTCATGCTCACAAAAAAAATGAAGCAATCCTATGTTTTGATTTCTTTAATTAGATGATGTATAATTTTAGTTTAAAGATCATAAATTGGAAATACTATTATTATTATTTTTCCTTTGGGTTCCTAGTAGAACAAACGGAAACAGCAGCACGCCTCCATTACATTCTGTCCTCTGCAGTCTTCAAAAACTGGCGCCACGACTACCCAAAACCATTCATTTCTTCCTCACATCATCTCCTACGTGTCACCCCCACATCGGAAACCCAACTCATCGTTTCCCCCTTCGGATTACACTCAACCGACTGGCTTGCCAACTGATGTCCTCAGTTGGCCTTCTCAGTGTATGCTCAATACAATCGATCTCCACTCTCTTCTGCATATTTGTTGAGTGATGGGTTGTTGGTTGGTAGGTTGTTTAGTTGCCAGACAGACAGACGGTTAGAGTGAATTCGTTGTTGCTTATTCTTTGTGGCAATCCATTTGATCTTCAGTCTTAATATCGAGTCAGTGTAGGAGGCCACATCTGTTGATGAGTGTCTGCAGTTCGTTGGAAATGCTTCACATGACACAACAAGTTTCTGAAGCATCACACAGAAGAAGTGACTTACTTGAGTGAATTAGTGTTGAAAATCTGGATGTTGTTCACGCTTTGTGCTGAGTGCAGTGCAGTGCATTAGATCTCCACACTGATTTCAGATTAATGCAGGGATGCCTGTCTTGCTGTCCCTCCGATCCTTGCTACTTTGACATCCTCGTGTATGCCTGTGCTGGTGCCATCTGTAGTTGAAACGATGCTGCCCTACCTAGGTGGTGAGTGGAAGAGATTACATCCTTTAGGTATCTGCTGTTGATGGTGATTGGTGTTTGTTGTTTGTTGCTGTTGTTGTTGTTGTTGTTGTTGTTGGTTGGATATCTTCATCACCTCTACTTCTGTCTTCTCTACATTGATTTGAAGTGAGTCTTGTGTTCGTTGAAGTACCTCACCTCTTCTGTCAACTTGTTAGTTTTCGCCTGTAGATCTTCGAGTTCGTGTGACAAACATTAATCATTTACGAAAATTGGAAATGCTTATATCTGGAAAACATTTTGTTTATTTTCATCATATTACTAGTAAGTAGCTCAAAACGTAAAGAAAAACAGTGCATAATTATTTTGTTACAGTTTCGTAAATTCAGTCGGTGGTTTTTTGGGATTTCGGGATCTGAAAGTGGTTCAAACCACGGACTGATACCAGTCCGAGAACCGTTGCAATGATCAGTTTACCTTTTAGCCCAATGTCTTGTTTATGAGTTTCTCACTTTTTTACCACCTTCATCAGTGGATTTATCAATCGTTTGCTGACATTTCCCATGTTAAACGTTTGCATAAAAATTTCATATGTACATTGAGTTTCGTCTGAGATTTAATTCCTCCCCACTTGTATTCAGACAGCTGATTCTTGCCCAATAAATAAACGGTTTTCTCTTGATTACCTTCTATCACTTTTGACTACTTTCTTCAATGTTTCTTTATCTTTTATTTTGCTGCTTTCTCACTTGATTAGCTGATAGGAGGTCTTGTAGCTTGAACTATATGCAGTGATGCCAGGTCCTATCTTGAATTTCATTAACTCTGACTTCACGATACATAACGACTTCGATATATAAGAATGTATAGTCAAAAATAACCATGAGATTTCTACTGTTCCCTAAAGTAGTGGTGAATATTGTAGCATGGTATAAAAAACCAGCTAAATCAACGAAACGCCTAAGCAATCAAACCGAAGAAGGCAACCATCTGGATCCATACATCTATATATCAACTATTCGTGTTTCACTTTCCGAAACATTATTAAGCGAGCGATGGATGAAGCTTGTTGAGGACAATGCAGGTATTTGCAGTTACATTGCTACTCTTCAACAAATATCTTCACTTATTCAACTTCTATCCGGTTATGATGATGCTTCTAACATCATGGGGTATGATGTTGCACGTCCAGTTGTTCGACTGACTAGCAACTCTGTTCCATACTTCCTAATGAATCTGTAAAGTAACTTGTAATCATACAAAGATGTAAGCATATATCGGTCGATTCTGAAGTCTCAGACTGTCTCACTAAGCTATATAGGCCAGAACTCAAACACTCAGCCAATCATATGTGTATTTTATTTGGCAATTTGAACAGTGACTGCCTGATAACAAATTGTTAAGATATATTAGGAATCAATCGAACAAATAGCATGAATAAATATACGGGTATGTATATTAGGTAACAAAAACAGTTTTTCCAATATTTACACATAAGTATCCTTTTTGGTAATATTTACAAATTAAGGTTCGATTTTTAGGTCGACTGGATGAAAACACATTTAGTTTAGGTCGAGTAAACAATGTAGTTTTTGTGGCACTTTCTTGATGTTCCACCAGCAACAACAACAACAAAAAATCAATTTCTAGTTTTATATTTATCAACATGGTGTATATAAACATCATTCTGCCAACCAAGTTCACTTAAAATAGTCTGTTATTATTTGTCCCTTGGGTTCCTAATGGAACATAGGGCTTCAGTAGTACATCTCCAGTGCACTCTTTTCTCTGCAAACTTTTGAACCTGGTTCCAAGACAGCCCACAAGCTCTCATTTCTTCCTCACACGATCTCCTCCATGTCACCCTTGCCTCGGACGCCCAAGTCGCCGCTTGCAATTAATCAATCACCGTCGCCTTTTAATTTGGATATAAAAAAGACCTACTTAAACAGTTATTGTGATAATGAGTTGGCAACTATGTTTCTCTGACAGCAGAGAAGAACGGTATGTAGTTGAAGTGTAACTGATGTCTCATTATCAACTGAGTCTCCTTCGCGGTCTAGTCAGTAGGCTGGTAACTAAATTACAATTAGACAACTTGGGTTTTCTGTAAACCCTAGTTATCAACTTCGTAAGATATTTAGAAAAAAAAAACAAATTTTTAATTATACCAACTTAATTATATTTGTCTTACTTGTTAAGATTAGTTATCTACCTAGATATTCTGTTATACATTTGTTTTAATTTTACTGTAGTAAAAGTGATTTCAGTTAAACTTTGGCGGTAACATAAATACACCTTTCTTCAATGTATCACTTAATTGAAAGTAAAACGACAATTATGCTCTATTTGTTTGTAGAACTTGAATACTATGAACCCATTACGTTCACCTGGTATTGTTGTTGTCTGAAAACGTTTTACAAAAGAATTCATTTTGTTGAACTTTAACTAACTGAGATATCATAGGGAATCTGATAAAGAATATCATCTATATGCTTGCATTATTACGGTGAACATTACTACCAGTCAACTCCTTATAAAGATAAAAATTTGTAGATGACCAATACTACTTTAATCTAACCAGTCACACTTTTAAAGAGTAGTCTGATTTCTACACAGTGAGTGATTTATAAAAACGATAATACTAACTGGCAGTTAATCAGTGGATACTTACAACTACCTGGATACCTAGACGTCTATCAGCTGCTGTCAACTGTTGCATGTTAGAGTGGCTGAGTTAGGATAAATAAGTCCTCTTATACAGAGAGAGAGAGAGAGAGAGCATTTCAAGAGACTATTATGAAGCAACAAATTTTATCGTCGAAATATACGGGAAATGGAGGGCTCTATAAGTACCAACAGTATAACAGTATATTACTGAAAGGAGTACTTAACAGTCAGTGATGTTTATTATCTTTTTACCATTGTAGCATTGTTTTGATACCGATCACAAGAAGAAGTTGAGGGAGACGTTAAGCTTTCTAGAGACTTGAATAACCATTTTACTACGTAACTCTTTATTTAGATAAGTGCCACTTTTTTGTCGTTACATTATCGTTGTCAAATGTAAGTGCGTTTCGCCTTTTCAATGTCAATGTCATAGTGTATAGTTTTGTACGTATAACATTTCAGTAGCCTCTGCCAATGACATGATTAATTTGACATTTCCGTCTTTCAAGTTATATTAGTACGCTTCTTTATGATTCAGTTGTATTTACACGTAATGCCAATGGTTTTCAACGATGTATTCAAAGTATTCACCTCACTATAGTAACCACAACACATACATTGAAGACAATGAATATGAACAGTAAAATCAGACGCAAATCCATTTATTATGTAGAGAAACGTTTATAGGATTCTGTTTTTTTTTGATGCGGAAGGATAATAACGTTGACAACTAGAAATAAATTCACCAGATTATACAGTTTCCTGTCACTTAAACCTCAGGCAAGAGAGGTGTTAATAAGACGAAGGGCTTTATTATAACTTTGAAGTATTTACTTAACATGAGATCTAGTTTTATATTTACAGAAGATTGAATTTTTGAGATAGTAACAAAAGACTGATCACTGATTTCATTGAATTATCCTATCCAAAAGATATTTATTAGTTGTGAGCGTTCTACGCATTCCCGGTTTATTTAAACGATTGAGAACCAAGGTTTAGATACCCCAGGAGTGACTTTGTAGAATATATTGAGTGGGTAGCCATTTTGAGGTTATCTCATGAAACTCCTCGCAAGTCCATTAGGGGAAGTGAGCGGTAGGGATGTATTAGTTTCCCGGAGTCAATAAATATTGTCCTGATTTTTGTCCAGAATTTGGCTAAGGCCCCTAATCTTGACAAAGTGACCTGCTAAGGCAAGAGCCGGTGAGATGGATATGCCAGGTCAAGACATATGATTTTATCTGCGGCCAACATTGTGTGCATTTCACAGTACCAACAAACAAGAATTCCAATATATCCTTCCCATCTGTCCATAACATACTTGTTGTTTTACAGAGTCATATGGCTAATAAAACTCACTGATACAAAAGGATCCTGGAAGTAAGTACTATTTATACCGCCACTTTAATGCTTTTACTTTTCCATCATGGTTCAGCCGAGTTACTCTGTTCGCTCGAACGGTTGGTTACTCAGTTTGACCAGTATTTGATTACAGCAGACCACATAGTCAGCAGAGATTAGGATCAAGTTACGTCGATAACATGAAGTATACTCAGCACTATAAGCCTGTGACCATGGTAAATGTAACTACAAATAGTTCTGTATAAGATTTATTTATTATAATTTATTTTCATAGTGGGACATATGGCTTCAGTACCACGCCTCCATTCCACTCTCTTCTCTGCAATCTTCAAAACCTGGTGCTACGACTACCCACAAGCTTTCATTTCTTCCTCACACCACCTCCTACATGTCAACCCCACCTCGCAAAACCCAACTAATCGTTTCCCAGCCAGCCAGCCAGCCAGCCAGCCAGCCAGCCAGCAAGCAAGCAAGCAAGCAAGCAAGCCAGCCAGCCAGCCAGCCAACCAACCAACCAACCAACCAGTCAGAGTGAATTTCTTGCTGCTTATTCTTTGTGGCAATCCATTTGATCTTCAGTCTTAATATCGAGTCAGTGTAGGAGGCCACATCTGTTGATGAATGTTTGCAGTTCGTTGGAAATGCTTCACGTGACACAACAAGTTTCTGAAGCATCACACAGAAGAAGTGACTTACTTGAGTGAATTAGTGTTGAAAATCTGGATGTTGTTCACGCTTTGTACTGAGTGCAGTGCAGTGAAGTGCATTGCAGTAGATCTCGACACTGATTTCAGATTAATGCAGAGGGGCCTGTTTTGCTGTCCCTCCGATCCTTGCTACTTTGACATCCTCGTGTATGCCTGTGCTGGTGCCATCTGTAGTTGAAACGATGCTGCCCTACCTAGGTGGTGAGTGGAAGAGATTACATCCTTTAGGTATCTGCTGTTGATGGTGATTGGTGTTTGTTGTTTGTTGCTGTTGTTGTTGTTGTTGTTGTTGTTGGTTGGATATCTTCATCACCTCTACTTCTGTCTTCTCTACATTGATTTGAAGTGAGTCTTGTGTTCGTTGAAGTACCTCACCTCTTCTGTCAACTTGTTAGTTTTCGCCTGTAGATCTTTGAGTTTGTGGGACAAGATATTAGACATGAATCATGATTGGTGGCGAAATGCAAATCTTTCTCTGGTGTCTATTGATTGGTCCGGCCAGCGTATGCCCCTCTTCTCTCCCCTCACTGTTTGCTGCATGATCCAGTTGACCACAATCAGGAGGATGATCGTTGATAGTAAGCTGCAGCCTTGTCTTGCTCTTGTCTTCACTTCAAGGTCATCACTGAGCTTTCCATTGTGGATCACTTTGCATAAGGCGTCTTCATATAGCTGTATAAGATAAAAGATGGAAATTGTGATAATGGTTTGAACGCGATGATCGGAGTTCTTCTGTAACGTCTAGCGATGACCATCAAGAATAAGTATCCGCTTTCTACGTTTCTAAAAACAGTTTTATTTATCAAAGTTACTTATAACCACGTAAATATATGGCTTTAGTACAAAGTGTAAAAAAGCTGCATCCACTACAGACGAAATTCACACTCATGAAAGGCTTTATGTTTTCATTTGTTGAATCAAGCTACTTAAATATTTCAAGTAAGTAAAAACAAAACGGAAAATTTTTCTCAAAGTGCATGCACTAGGGAAATTATCCGAGAAAACATGCACAACAATATTATTTGTTATTCACATTAAAAATGGCTGTATGCAGAATTAAGATTTTTCAAGCTCACTTTTCGTGGTTATTATTCTGATAATCTGGTCCTATTCTTGACTTGTATGAAAGCAGGACTCATGACTTACACTAATAACAAGTCTAACGGAAATATCATACGCTAACCTGCAGATTCTACTAGTGACACCGGATGGCTTTCTGTCTAGCTTGGAACTAAGATGATTAAGTTGATCTAAGAAACACTGTTTCTACTAGCTGGATTAATCCAGGTCCACGGCTGCCGGTCTTCATCACCGAATTAATAAAATAACCATCAGGTGTTCAGATAGCTCCCGATCTATCTAGAGAAATTTGTAATTCATAATGACCTCTTTGCTTACTTTGTTCACTAGTATATTTCGTTGATTCGTGTTTTTGAACACATCCCTTTTTATAAACTCCCTCACAGTTCCTTATAAAAGTGCGACCGATTCACTCGAAATGGG